CCCAGATAACAGGTGCTGGGTCACCCCATCACCCCCCCCAGATAACAAGTGCTGGGTCACTCCATCACATGCCCCCCCAGATAACAGCAGGTGCTGGGTCACCCCATCACCCCCTCAGATAACAGCAGGTGCTGGGTCACCCCATCACCCCCTCAGATAACAGGTGCTGGGTCACCTCGTCACGTGTCCTTGCTGACAGGTCTGAGGTGGTGGCACTCAGGGATCCTCGGGACACCCAGCCCCATGTGAGCCCCACCCCATCCTGACTTCTCCCTGTTTCCTGAACAGCAGCTTGTCAGGTGTGTGCAGCCACCTGGAACTGACCGTCTGATTTCATAGCGAACCCAGCACCATTCCTTGATTGTGTTTTGAGTGATTGTTGACATGACCAGAGCCCTGGCTGCCAGTCGTTGTGCGGGGACAGGGCTCTCCCCGAGCACTGCGGCCTCGCTGAGCCCAGGCCGGTCTCTGCCGCAGGCTTGCTGAGTCTGAGCGGTTTGCTGGCAGGGCCACTGGTTGGCAGCCGGGCTTCCCGAGGGCCCCTCTTCGGGGTTGCTGACCCTGGGCCCCTGGTTCTTGCAGCTACCGAGACCGCCCAGCAGCTGAAGAGGAGTGCGGGGGTGCCCTTCCACGCCAAGGGCCGGGGGCTGCTTCGTAAGATGGACACCACAAGTAAGGGGCCATAGCCCGAGTGGGGCCGTGTCGGGGCTGGCGATGGGCCCCGGCCGGTGACGAGAGCCCAGGGTAGGGGCTAGTGACGGGCCTGAGTAGTGACCAGCAGGCCAGTGACAGGCTGGAGCTTTGTTGGCGCTGGTGATGGGCCCTGGGTGACCAGGACCGCAGGCCAGAGCAGAGCCGCATCAGGGCTGATCAGGCTGGGAAGGCCTCCGTGGTCAGCGTGTCGCCGGGGTGTCGGGATCCAGGCTGATGGCATGGGCCTGGTTTCTGAACCTTGGCTGCTTGTGGCATGGTCTGCGCGGGTCAGCGTGTTGGGCCTCACAGGGAGACCCTTCTGGTGGTCCCCGGGCTGAGTGAGGCCAACCCACTCCCAGGCTTGAGTGAGCTGACCCCGTGCCCACAACCCCGCTGCCCCAACCCAGTTAGCACTGCTGGGCTCTGGCCCCTTCTCTGCAGTGGGAAATAGGGTGCCCATGAGGACGTCCCCAGCACCTGGGCCTTGCTTAACACTAGGATGCAGATATTCCTGCCAGGACCTTGGCCACTTGGTCCTGGGTGAGAGGGGTGACACTGGGGCAAGGACACGCGGTGCTGGCTGTGCCTGTCATGTCCCCACAGGCTGGGGGTGGGGCCAACCTTGAAGTCCCCTGCCCTCGTGAGGGCCACTTCTCGGCAAGCCATTGCTGAGCACTGGGAGTGGTGGACCTGGCCTGGTCATCGTCCTGGTCCCATGCTTTCAGCCAAGCTTTGTGCTGGCGGCGGCCCAGGCCCGCATACGTGCTGGCAGCCTTGCCTCACGGCTGCTCCGGCCCACGGGCGGTTAGGAGGGCGGCCCCTCTGCGGCCAGGGGCTGTGTCCTGAGCACTGGGCAGGAGAGTGGGTGGTACATCCACCCTGTAGCCATGGCGGGAGCGGCTTGCTGACTGCAGGTGGTGGGCACACTCCTTGCCGTGCACGGACATGTGCGGGGAGTGGGGCTCCAGCCCCCTGACTGGCCTGTCCCCACAGCCCCCCTCAAAGGTATCCCAAAGCAGGCGCCGTTCCGCAGCCCCACCACCCCCAGCGTCTTCAGCCCTGCGGGGAACCGGACGCCCATCCCACCCTCGAGGACACCGCTGAGGAAGGAGAGGGGCGTGAAGGTGGGCCTGGTCCCTTCCCCGCCCCGCCCGCCCGGCCAGGTCCACCTGCGGGCCGGGGGCTGAGGCCGGTTCTGTCTGTTCTGGCAGCTGCTTGATATCTCGGAGCTGGATACAGTTGGAGCTGGCCGAGAGGCAAAGAGGAGGAGGAAGGCTGTGGGTGCGTGCTCGGGAGTCCCGTGTGCTGAGGGTGGGCACAAGCTAGGGGAGCACCAGCCGCTTCCTCTCGGCGACAGCTCTGGGGTGCCTTGAGGTCATTGTCATGCTGGAGGCCTTGCCGTCAGGTTGGGCAGTGTCCTGACATGTCCTGAGGCACCCCCCGTGGACAGCATGTCATCCCAGCCCGGTCCCTGGGGTCTGCTCTGGAGCCCTGAGCCCTGCTCTGTCCACAGACACCGAGGTGGTGGAGAAGCCGGCCAAGGAGGAGACGGTGGTGGAGAACTCCACCCCAGACTATGCCGCGGGCCTGGTGTCCACGCAGGTAGGCTCCGTCCACCGCCACCATGCTGCTTGTGGGCCGCCAGCACTCTTCCCGCTGAGAGCACGTGTGTGCGAGTACGTGTGTGTGTCAGAGCGGTGCAGGGTTGGCTGGAGCCAGCACTCTTCTGCTGAGAGCTCATGTGTGCGTGCGCATGGACCCACATGTGTGTGTGTGTGTGTGTGTGTGTGTGTGCGCGCGCGCGCGCGAGCAGTGCAGGGTTGGGACAAGCCTGAGGTGACGTCACACGTGGACTTGGAGCTGCGCCTGCCGTGTGCTGTCCTAGGGTGCCCGGTCCCTCGGGCTGGGCCTGCCCCTCCCCGGGGGTAGTGGCAGCAGGGAGAGGAGGCAAGTGTGGCGAGGTGGGCCGAGGTCCGCGCGAAGGCCTCTTAAAGCCTGGCCGCTGGGGGAGGAGGCTCGGGGACTGCATGCCGTGCAGCGCACACATCGGGCATCTCCAGGCCGCGTGGGGCTCAGCCCTGTGCCCGGTGTTCTTACAAGGACTGTCGTCCTCGCATGTGCCTCTGCAGGAAGACACTGCAGCCCCCTGGGTTCCAGGCTGCTTGGTCGAGGCTCCTGGGCCCGTCCCCCCTGCTTCCTCTGCCCCGGAGGTGGATCTAGTGCAGCCGGGTTCGGGGAGCGGATGAGACTGTGATCACTGGCCAGTGCTGGCCGATGCCCCCTTGTCCCTGACACACAGATGGGCAGTGTCCACTCATCACAGGGTTGTATGTCATCTGAGAACCCTGTTTTCCAGAAACTCGGATCCCTGAACAGTGAGCCGGCACTGCCCTCCACCAGCTACCTGCCCGCCACGCCCAGTGTGGTCCCAGCCTCGTCCTACATCCCCAGCTCAGAAGCCTCGCCAGGTGAGCCTGGGCCCCGGCACTGTCAGTGACCCCCAGGTCCCTTCAGTGACCCCTGAGTAGCAGCGCAGCCAGAGGCGAGCCAGGTCGGGGCGGCAGCTGTGATTGCCGCCCTCTGTTCTCCACGCATCCTCGCGGGACCGCGGCCAGTTCCTGGGGAAGGCAGTGGCCCGAAGCCTGGCCGGGCTCTGCTCTCCCGCAGACGGTGGTGCTGGCTGGGGTGAGGCAGGAACGGAATCCCCGTGTGAGAGCGAGCTGGACCCTGCAGAGGCTGTTCCACCAGTGAGGGCTGTGCGGGGCCGCCCCAGTGCCTGGTCATGGAAACTCATCCGAAGCTGGACTTGCGGGCTTTAGTTGGGCTTTTGGTCCCTCGCCTGTCTCAGGATCCTGGCCCCAGGGCAGCTGGTTGAGGGCATGGGCCTCCCACCCTGGTCCAAAAGCCAGGTGCCCGTCAGCCCAGAGACCCTGTGCTCCTTGGCCCAGTGGGCACCAGAGGGAGGGAGAGGGGGAAGGAGGGCTCCGAGCGGCCTGCTGAAGCATGCTGTTACGATGGGCATGTGCCCACTGGCAGCGTAGGGCCCCTTCCTCTGCCCAGCCGAGGCCTCACAGGGCCTGGGGGGTGGGGCACATGTGGTCAGTGGACAGCCGGTGGGTTTGCCCTGGACTGGTTGGGAGCGGGTCGAGGCATGATCACAGTGGAGGGTCTCACCAGGTGCCCTCTGCCTGCAGCGCCACCTTCCCGGGAAGCCAGCCTGCAAGCCAGCCGCCCCCCTGAGGAGCCTAGTACCCCGAGTCCCACGCTCCCAACCCAATTCAAGCAGAGAGCGCCCCTGTACAACAGCAGCCTGAACCCGGCCGCAGCCACCCCGACGCCCACGCCCACCCCCACAGCTACCACCCCCACCTTGCCCCTGACACCCACCACGCCCCCAGTCGTCACCCCCACAGCCCAGACCCCCCCAGTGGCCATGGTGGCCCCGCAGACCCAGCCTACAGCGCAGCAGCAACCCAAGAAGAACCTGTCCCTCACGGTAAGGGGCCGTGTCCCTCAGGGTAGGGTGACCTCGTGGGTGAGGGCTCCTGGGGACGGAGGTGGTCTCACGCCTGCGTCCTGCCTGCAGAGGGAACAGATGTTCGCAGCCCAGGAGATGTTCAAGACGGCCAACAAGGTCACGCGGCCCGAGAAGGCCCTGATCCTGGGCTTCATGGCAGGTTCCCGAGGTGGGTTCAGGGCCGGCCAGGCACTGGGGGAGCCGGGCGGGCAGCTGGGGGCCACGGTGAGCAGCTAGCCCAACAGCCCCTCTCCTGCAGAGAACCCGTGCCAGGAGCAGGGCGACGTGATCCAGATCAAACTGAGCGAGCACACGGAGGACCTGCCCAAGGCCGATGGCCAAGGCAGCACCACCATGCTGGTGGACACGGTGTTCGAGATGAACTATGCCACGGGCCAGTGGACACGCTTCAAGAAGTACAAGCCCATGACCAACGTGTCCTAGCTTGTGGCCCGCCAACCACTCTGGGCTCCAATGCTGGGGGCTCCACAGAACAGCAGTTTGGCTTGGCCCAGCAGACAGATGGACACCGGGCAGGGGAGCCGAGTCCCAGCCTGTCTTTTTATGTTCATTTCTCTGGGATGTTCTGGGCTTCTTTTTAAATTTCTATTATGGGTTATTTTGTGTGTGATTTCAGGATGAGTTTTTTGGATTCAGTACATTTTAGAACGTACACCCCAAGTTCAAACTGCCTCGTTTTGCAGCAGTAAATCTGCTTGCCTTGTTTTTTCCTTGGAAGAATCCCACTGGCCAGGAAGGAGGGTGGAGGTGGCTGGTGCCGCAACCTCTCCTAGGTTGAGGGGACCAAAGGCAGACCCTAGGCTGTCTGTACCCCCAGAGTTTTGTATTTACCTTTTGTACAGCTATGGGCAATTCAGACCCATCTTTGGTCTGGTTTTCACTGTCAAATGTTTGAGTAATTAAAAGTTGAGCTTTTCTGAGAGCAATGGCTGCTTTGACCACACCACCCGTGTACACTGTGCTGGCCTGTGTCATCAAGGTCAGGGCTTTGTGGCTGTGCTCCCCCAGGACCTTGGTGGACGTGGGTGAGGGCAGGGCTGGGGAGCCAGGGTGGAGTGACAGGCAGCCACCACCCAGCATCAGCTCATCTCAGCTGTTAAAAGAGAGGGACAGTCCCACTGTCCCGAAGATGGAGTCATGCTGGGCACTGGAGTAGGACCAAGGCCCGGGTGAGCTGCATGGCCCCAGAACTAGAACAGACAAAAGAAACACATGAGAAAAATCCTTTAAAATTTGTTTAATACAAAAATACTCATACACCATTTTCCAAACACAGCTTTCCACTTTAAATGCTATTTCCCCCCCCAAACTGGCAAGTTCTCAAATCTACATTTTCCAGTTACCCTCCCTCCCCCAAGAATGAACTTCAAGTTTTTCAATCTAACTATGTTGACCGCTGCCGGGGCGCAGACACCGACGGGCACGCTTCAGTGTGTGTATCGTCTGAGGGGCATTTCACAGCTCGGGCAGGGGGACACGAGGCCCAGCGCTTAGCACCTCACTGGCAGGACAGGCCGTCACAGGGCGCTCGGGACAGCTTATTTGGCAACTGAGTCTCTTGCGTGGACTCCTGTGGGACGGGGTCAGCTCCTCGGAGGGCAGTTGAGGCCGATGGGTCGGACACATGGTTCTGACTGCAAACCAACCCTCAAGGGCCCTGACACACACTCGAGTGTGGGGAGCTAGCGGCCAGCGTCGGTCTCGAGTCCCCACAACAGGCTTCGTGTCCACCTGTCTCCCCACCGGTTGGCGCATGACGAGACAGCAGAGTGATGTCTGGCTGCCGTCAATTAGAGGCCTGGGGCAGTAAAAAGGTCGGTGCTGGGCCGGAGACCCAAATGTGCCTGCTTCCAAGTCCATGCACCCATGGATGAGCTGCCCAAGTGTGGGGTCTCCGAGGTGTCTGGACAGCGGGCTCAACCTCCCCCCAGTGCCCACAGCCCAGAGGGCAGGCCAGAGCACAGGCCATACCTGCACACGGCCCTCATCCCCGTTTTAGAAGCTGGGCCTTGAAACTCTTAGTGTTATTTCCTTGTTAACTGTGCAGCTTTAGAGATGGGACCACATTTAAAACTTCAGAAAGAAACCTAAAAAAATGTGGAAACCTGTCACAGCGAGTGAGCACTCGGGATTTCCCTGCCGCTTCTGTGAGCACATCCTGCCTGTCCTTGGCTGCCACTTGGGCTGGAGATGGCCCAGCAGAAGTGAGTGGGCAGTGTGGGGCCCCGGTCTCTAATACCCTCTCAGTACGTCCTCGGGGAACCTCCGAGCACACTCACGACCTGGGCCGGGGACGGGCCTGCTGTTGGGAAGCAGTCTGTTCCTGGCAGTCCTGCATACGGGGCCTCTAGTCTGTGCACAGGGCGGGGCAGGGGGCTGGACACCAGGCAGCAGGGGCCCAGGAGGAGCTGTGACAGGTGCTGAGCCCAGGTCATGGCTGCGACTTCACATGACATGGAGCAGAAATGAGGGCGCTGAAGCCCAGCATAGACTTCCCTGTCGCTGAGGAGAGCTGTGTAAACCTTCTGGAGGTGACCAGAGGGGACAGGTGGAGAGAGCACCTATTCTTCTTGTCCCCAGCTCTGCCCTGAGGAGACCACCCAGGAGCCCACCCTCATTGGGACACACTTAACTTCAGGGTCAGGAAAGCACCCCTAAAAACAAGTCGTGTTTCCCACTGAGAACACGCAGCTTCTTGGGTGGCTGCGTGGGGCGGGCACCTCCCCCTTCAGCAACAGCGGCCTGTGAGCCCCACAGCTCCCCTTCCCGAGCGGCCTTGCGGTTCCCTGAGCAGAGCACCCCATGATGAGCCGGGCCACCTGGGGGCCAGTCCTGTCCGTCCCCGACACGTCCACTATCTGGCCAGTTCTCAGCACTCTGCGGACTGCAGTGGGGCGCGGTGCTCAGAAAACACACTTCTCAGTGGTGGTTTGTGAAACGAGTTCAGCAAAAATATATTGCGAGTAAAAGGTAAAAAATGGTAAAGAGAAGGGAAATGGAAAAAACATACAGAGTATCTTCCCAAAGCGCTGGTCGTGACCTAGTGCGTCCAGAAGCCGGTGCCGCAGAAGGGGCTGGGGCAGCAGCTCCGGAGGCTGCTGGCATCCAGGTCACATCGTGAGGGATGCGGGAGGACCACCCCGGCACTGTCACCACCCCAGCGCCCAGCCGGCTTCTCACTGGATGGAGAAGGCGCGCGTGGGAAAACCTTCACATTAGCACAAAGGTACAGCTGTGACGAGCCCGGCAGGCCCCGTGTCTGACGACAGCAGGGCAGGGGCTGCACTGTCCCCGCGGGAACGAGGCGCTGTACTCAGAGCTGAGGAACATTCAACAGAGAACAGCCATCTTTTAGAAGAAATACTATCCTATACATTTCAGCTGAGATAAAACCATTTCATATGCCAATTAATCTTCAATCGTAACTCCAACCTAGAAAGATAAAAACAGGAGGGCACCCTGACGTCGTCGATTCAAGTGTGACTGGAGCTGTGGGGTAAGGCAGGCCGGCTGGACCCCGTGCGGCTCAGGGCTGGCCATCAGTGCGGACGCGGCCAAGGTGGCTCAGTGAGGAGGAAGGCGCTCCCCCGGCGGCCTGGACGTGTGACGGGAGGGCAGGCTGGGGTCCCGGCCAGCCCTGAGCACAGCCCGGGGCCTGGCCGAGCGGCGGGGTGCTATTTGCCGTCAGTGACCCTCCGCCAGCAGCGCCTCCGCTTCCTCCTCCCCTTGGGCCTGACCGGCTCCGTGCGGGGCTGCCCCGCCTTGACCCCTCGGCCGGGCTGGGTGCCACCCTCGTGCTCGGAGCAGTACAGCTGTCCGTCCAGCGTGGTGCGGAAGGCTGTCCCATCATGGTGGTCCTTGCAAAAAGAATTGGGACAAAAGTGGCAAAAGGAAGTAGAAGGTTTGCCACACACGTCGCAGTGATGCCAAGGACACTCCCACTTCCCTGCAACAAAGCAGAAGACGTCAGCAGACAGTGAGTGCACAGGGTGGGGACACTTGGAACTGGCCGCTCAAGTCACCCCTCCACATGCTGCAGCTCAGAGCCCCTCAGGGACCAGCATGACGCCTGGGGATGCCGTCCCTCCCACTGGCAACAATGAACACTTCCTAGTGGCTCCAGGTTCGAGTCCTGGGCACTGACCGCGCGTGGGGTCCTTTGCCATGCCTATGCCACGTGCTTTCTTAACTGTGGGTGTCAACTGCACAAAAGCCAATCTCCTACGTCAAACGCCACTGTGGCATTTGCTTCTCTCTCTGCGTAAGGTCGCTTCCCCTCTGACCAGGGTGAGCGCTTGGCACAGACGCCCAGGCTCTCTCAACTAAACACTAGTGGACCCTCCTGGGGGGATGGCCTGGCCATGGCTTCCTGAAGAGGGTCCCTGCCCCATCCTGGGGGGCCACCCTGCTGGGTCCTGTCTTCACAAGCCCCACCCTACCACACTAGTAACCCCTGAGGCCCGGGGACTCTGGCAGGATCACCCTGAGTTCTCCCAGCTACCTCAGGGACAAAGGGGGCTCTCATGGCCTGGGGGAGGGACGCCCCCACGGGCACCAGGCAGGCTCTGTGGCCCAGCACTCACCAAAGGGCCGCTTGCCCAGCCCAAGGCATGACAGGTGGTAGGCCTTGGTGCAGAACTTGCGGTCACACAGGACCAGCTGGCCACCGTCGCCACAGCGGAAGCACTCGTCCTCTGACACCTTCTTGCCGTCACCCTTCGTCCGGCGCCTCTTGGTTTTTTTCTTCATCTTTTTGCCCTTTTCCTCAGAAGAAAGGGACGTGGAAGTCTAGAATTAAGAAATAGAGTTTATGCACACCCATGTTTATCATGGCTTTGTTCACAATAGTAGAGTTGGAAACAACCTAAGTGCCCATCAACAAACGAATGGATAGAGAAGCTGTGGTATATTCACATAGTGGAATACTACGCTGCATTGAAAAACAAGGAACTCATGCAATATTATTCAAAATAGGTGACCCTGGAGGACATTATGCTGAGTGAAGTATCTCAGTCTCAAAAGGACAAATACTGCATGGTGCCACTGCTGTAAAATAGGACTGACCTTGGGGTTGGGGATAGACTGAGAAAGATGGGTTCAATAATGTATACTGCATTGGAACAGATGAGGGAGAAAACTGTTTATTAAGGGATATGTGATTAGGTATTATTGTCATAACAGGAATCCAGAACGAAGGCTGCATAATGGAGTGGTCCTGGGGGAGGGATTGTATAACAAAGAATTTTACTTTTCAAAGAGAAGAGCGAACTGGGAGGGGGGGGGAGGGAAGGGTAGGCAGGGAGAAAAGGGCAACAATGAATGAATGGAAATCCAAAGTCTCTGTAAACTTTCATTAAAATTAATAATAATAAAAAAGAAATAAATACAGTTTATGTAAAGAGAATTTACGCGAGATGAAGGAGCCACAGGCTCTCCAGGGAAGTCCTGCTACAGAAAGCAGGAAGCGCTCAATGCTTCCCCATGCCAGCCATGAACGGGGTCCCGGTCAGCCCGCGGACACACCCCGTTCAGCCGTGGATGCGGCCCGGGTCAGCCTACGGGCATAGCCCATGTACAGCCAGGGTTTGGAAACTCCACTGACATGTGAGCAGGCAGAGACTAAACTGACCTCTTGGCTGAAGCAGCAGTGACTTGATGCCCAAGAGCAGTCCCGCTCAGGAGTAGGGACACGACCCCCTCATGTCTCCTGACCATGTGTGCCCAGCACAGGTGGCAGCTCTGTGTCGTGGCCTCTGATGGAGAGTGAGGAAGGCTGCTCCCTCCCCACCACTCTCCCCTCCTCCGACCAACCGGCTCTGGCCCTTCCCAGCGCACGTGACGGGGCGCAGAACCTGCACCCTGGGCCAGCTGAGCACAGGCCAGAACAGCTAATGCTGCGACCCATGACGGCCACTCTGCATGTCGCCATGTCCTGCAGAAAACTCGGGTCCTCCACAGCAGTGCACACCCAGGGGCTCCCCGATGCCTCTCCTCCTTCCTCACCCGAGGGCCCGCTCGCCAGCCAGCACCCTGGTCAGCACTTCACTCTCCACAATCACTGACCTCAGGCAGGGTTCTGTTCTTAGCAGCAGACCCAAAAGCCCAATGTTGGCCCAAAGGGCGTGGAACCCTTGGCACTTTGACCAGCAGAGCCGTAGCCCTGCCATTTGTGGTGGCCTGTGCCAGATCTGGAATACGGGGCCTGGCTGCAGACGCATCGGCAAAGACCATACCTTTGGCCGATCCCCAAGGAAGCCACTGCAGTTGGGGGCTCCGCAGCGACAGACGGTCTTCTCGTTGCCCAAACAGTCGAGGTTGTAATTAAAGGTCAGCTCTGTCCCTATGGGGAGATGGGACACACAACATTGACCTTTCCATAATACCACAGGAATGCATGTCCAGCCTGAGGCCCTGCTGCTGGGGTCGCATCTCTGGGCCTAGGGCCTTTCCAGTCTGCTGCGTCTCACTGGACTCGGGACACGCTGTCCCCCACCCCAGCCTGCAGCGGCACAGAGCCTGTGAGCTGAGGGGCAGCAGGTCCCCCAGCACGACGTACCTGCAGGAATGTCGCACACAGCAAACAGGCCCACGCGGGTATCACCGTTCACCGTCCACTTGAGGGTCTCGCAGTTGGGCTGACAGCTGTGGTTCATGAATCGGGAGTAGTTCCCCTTGGGGCCAGCGTCAATGATGCGGTCCTGCAGGGGAGCGAGGCTCAGGTCACGCATCACTCGGGACAACAGTCCTAGGACACGCTGCACACGTGAGATGTCTGCTTGTCAGACTGAAAACCGTGGGGTCCCATGGCCACTGAAATGAGACACCCCCAAACCAGTCGTCTTTCTCTTGCTCACTGAGGGGAGGTCGGGACCACATGGCAAGGACCAGTACAGAGTGAGCGCCAGCTGCACAGGCTGGGAACAGTCCCACCCTGACAGCATCGCCCGCTGTCAGGGCCCAGAGGACACTCCGACAGGAAGGCCCAGTTACAAAGGGGAAGGACACAGCGCATCTGCTGAGCGGTCCCCACAGAGAAGCACGCGAGCCGCGGTGCTCACAGGCCTTCAGCAAAGGACGTGCAGCCTCGCATCACAGCCCACCTGCGAGCAGCCCACCTGAGCGCGAGCCGCACCGGTGCAGGCCTCCGCAGTGACCACCACGGGAACGGAAGCGTGTGGGTATGCACTGTCCTGTCTGACCCGGGACCCCCCGACCCTGGGTCCAGTGAAAGCTCAGCGGCCGTGCACCAGGCAGCCCCATCAGAGGGGGGAGGAGTGGAGGCTCGGACCCCAGGGGTGCATGGGGTGCTGGAGGGGCAGATGGGAAGGAAATGTAACAGGTCCAGCAAGTGTCGTAAAGAGGCTGCAGGAAGTGCTGAGAAAGCCACAAACATCCAAGTCTGAGTGTATGCCAACACACCTGACAGTAAATAAAGGGATAAACGCATACATTTTCTAACATGTCAAACAAAACCAAACCCTGGCCGCCGAGTTTCCTATGCCGCGTCAGACCTCACAGTCCGGATGAGCTGCCGACAGCAGCCTCAGGCGCACAGCCAGGGTCCTCCAGAGTCCCCCTGGCCAAGCGCTGCAGGGACGCTCCAGCCAGGCTGCAGACCCAAGGGCTGGATGCGTGAGAGGGGCTCCTGAGGACCTGTCCAGCACACTGGGGTGAAGTGTGATGACAACACATTCCTCACAGGAGGAGAAGTGGGGGGGCTCCTGCCGCCAGCCTCTTGCTATCTGAAGTTCCAACTCTGCTTACAGTGTCTGCTCTGGCCCTAAACGCGTCGCATTTGTCTGCGGCTATTTCACTGGTCTCACCGCGTGTCAGCTGTCGGACTCCAGGGCTCCTGATGCTGGACGCTCTGCTGCTGACGGTGGAGAGGTTTCAGCAAAGTTCCAGACTAAGACAAGGAGCAGGAGCGGCCCTCGCTTCGCAACTAGCAGGTTCATGAAAACACTGACCAGTAGCCGGCGCCAGAGGATGGGCCCCAGGTCGGAAGTGGTCAGCTGTGACTGGGAAGAGCTGCCCCTGAGATGAAGTCTGTGCCCCGCCCGAGGTGGAGTCCACGTGGATGGTGAGGGAGGTATACAGCTTCCACAGTGAAGGGCCCTCATTTGCTGAGATGAAGAGTCAACCCCGGGGAGGAACAGCTCAAGACACTGTTAGTAACTTGGCCAGGGAACGTACCAAGCATGAATGTAGGAAGAGCCGGAGTGGACAGAACTGAAATGGACACATCAAGGTCGCCACGCTGGCATTAGTGAGAAGGGGGGCTGGGATCTGCCCGGTGAATCGTGATCAGAACATTCTAGGATCTCCTATGTCAGAAACACAACCAGAAAGCAACACCAAGTACAATCTTGAAGATGATTTTAAAAATGGCTTGAATAGTGCATCAACAGAGAACTGCCCGAAATTCAAGGTGGATTCAGAAGAGGCCGTGGAGTAAGGGCTGTCATTGCCAATGGCAGATGGACTGTGGCTGAAAGCAGGGAATACTAGAAAAACGTCCACTCGTCTGACTATGCAAAGGCATTTCTGTGGATCCTAACAAACATGGCTGTAACAGAGAAGAGGAGGAACCCCAAACACTGAACTGTCTCCTTGTGAAACCTCTATATAAACCAGAAGCAGTTCCCAAAACAGGACACGGTTTAAAATCAGGGAAGCTGTGTGTCGGAACGGTATCCTTTTTCCAGACCTATTCAAACTGTTTGCTGAACAAATCATTCAAGAAGCTAGACCACGTAAAGAAGGATGTGGCATCAGGATTGGAGGAAGACTCATCAACAACCTGCTACGAAGATGACACAGCCTCACTTGCTCAAAGTGTGGAAGACCTGTAGCATTTACTGAAGATCAAAGACTGCAGCTTTCACTACGAATTACATCTCAACATTAAGAAAACGATTCTCACTCCTAGACCAATAGGCCACACCATGATGCTGCTGCTGTTGTCGTGCGCCGTTGAGTCGTCTGCGACTCACAGCAACCCTCTGTACAACAGCTCTGAAGCCTGCCCTGTCCTAGGCCCGTCTGAGCCCCAACACACCCACCCTCATTACCCCATTTACTGGATCGATCCAGTAAATCCATCTCATACAGGATCATCCTCTCTTGCACTGTCCCCTTTCATCCTTCGAAGCAACATGTCCTTCTCCAAGGACTGATCCCTCCTGGCCGCATGCCTAAGTATGTGAGATTGAACTTCAAAATCCTAGCCTCCAAGGAGAAACTTGGTGTCACCCTAAGACAGATCTGTTTGTTTTCTTGGCGGTTCATGGTATGTTCAACACTCTTTTCCAGCACCACAACTCAAGGGCATCAATTCTTCTGTCATCCATAGTCACTGTCTAGCTCTCTGATGCAAAGCAAGGAATTGTGAAGACCATGGCCTTGGTCAGGCACACCTTAGTTGCTAAATTAACATCACTGCTTCTCAGTACTCTGGAGAGGCCCCTGACAGACTTTCCCAGTGCTGTTGGAGTCAAGAGTGTTGGCTGTGGAGCCAAGCAAGCTGTAACTGTTAACAGCCTCAACCTTTCATCTATCACGGTGCTGACAACTGGCCCAGTGGTGAGAATCTTTGTCTTCTCGATGTTGAGCTTCAATCCATATTGACAACTACAGTCCCTGAGTCTGTGCAGCAGGCGCTTCCGGTCCTCCTCAGTTGCAGCGAGCAGGGTTGTGTCATCTGCATAACGCAGGTTGTTGATGAAACTTCCTCCAATCCTGGTGCCACGTTCCTCCTCATAGAGCCCGCCTCCAAGAGGATCTGTTCTGCATACAGACTGAAAAGCTATGGAGACAGGACACATCCCTTTTCTGATTTTGAACCATGCAATGTTTCCTTGCTCTGTTCTGAGGACTGCTTCCTTAGCACAAGCAAGTGTCCTGGGATCCCCATTCTCCTCAAGGTGAGCCACAATTTGTTGTGATCCACAGTCACAAACCCTCTGCACAGTCAATAAACACATACAGACATTCCTCTGGTACTCTCTGCTTTCAGCCAAGAGCCGTCTGACACTGGTGATAATGTCTCTAGTGCCAGCTTGTACTTCGGGCAGTTCTCTGTTGATGTCCTATTCCAGTCGTTTTGGAACTCTGGTGGCCTAGTGGAAAGAAGCTGTGCTGCAATCCCAAAGGCACACAATTCAAATCCACCAGATGCTCCTAGGAGAAGGCTGGGCAATCTCCTCCCATGTGATTAGCTGCCTCTGAAAACCCACCAGAGGGTCAGCTATGGGTGTTTCCAACTAGACACAACAGAACATCATCATCAAGATAGAATCTGAAAAGACTGAAGCTGACAGGATTTTTATTTTACTTCAACTCATAATCAACCCATCATGGCAGCAGATAAGAAAACAATATCTCACCGGGAAATGACTGTTAAAGTGCTAAAAAGCTAGGGTGTCAGTTTCAAGACTGAGGTGTGCCTGATCTATGCAATGTGTTTCCAATTGCCTCATACACATCTGAAATTGAGCAAATGAATACGGAAGACCAAAGAATTGGAAGTCTCTGAACTGAGGTGCTAGCAAAGGTGACTGAACTTCTCACGGACTGCCAAAAGAATGCACCAATCTGTCTGCAGCAAGCCCAAACACGGTGCTCCTGAAGAGGTCAGGATGGTGAACCTGCCTCACCCGCTTTGAGTGTAGTGTGAGGCGAGACAGAGCCTTGGAAAAAGGCAGCAAGCTGGGACCGCAGAGGGGCAGGGAAAGACAGATGACCCTCAGGAGCTGGAGTGACCCAGTGACCCGGACGAACTTGGTCATGGCAAAGACTGACAACAGCACGAGACAGGCAAGGGCCTGATGTGTGTCCACTCGGGCGCAGAGTGTGGTCACGCTGACAGCTCCTGCCAACCACATCGTAACTGAACAAGGAGGTAACATTCTGAGAGGGGGGGCAGCGCTCAAGGCGGCCAGGATTTCCGTTTACTTGGAGCTGAATCAAAGCCCATGGGAGTCAACACATCTCGCGGGCAGCCCCGCTGCTCAAGAACTCAGAGGTCAGCACTGCACCGTCAACCGCTCTGTACGTATGTGAAAGCCGGGTAAGAGCTGAGGAGGACCAGAGAGCCAGCACCTTGGGGTCGTGATGCCGAGAGGACGGACGGCTGCACGGACTGTCTCAGCAGAAAGGCAGCCCGAGTCCTGAGGGGAGGAAGGCACCAGGCCACGGGAAAGGCAGCGTCCTTCCAAGATCTGAGGGTCAGCGAAGAGAGGAGGCTGCTCCGGAACAGACCTGCGTCTCCGATGACGACTCGGGCTAGTGCAGGTCTGCTCTCCACAGGCTAGGAGTGTGCGACGACACGCCGGCACCACCAGCGCTTTGCTCATTTAGGATTTTGGTTTAAGCACGTGGGGTTCTGACTTCCCTCCTCACCCCGACTGTGAGGCCCTGACTCCCGGGATCCGCAGGTGTGGGAACAGGACAGTTCCGCAGGCCGTACCCCACGGCCGACCTGTGTCCGCTCTTCTTCCCTCTCAGGCACCTTCTCCTGCTACAGGAGGCCCCGGTACCACCACCTGCCGCCCAGCCCTCACGCAGACGCTGCCAGCACACTTCACACACCAGGCCAGGACCCGCGGGTCAGAGGCTGTCCCGCGGCCTCAGTCAGCACCCCAGATGGCCGCCTGTGGAGAGCCAGGCGCATGGGGGAGCTCACCTTGTCAATGGTAAGCATGTAGAAGTGGGTGATGTCGTTCTCTTGGGCGTGCTTGATCCTTGCCATGCACTCCTCCTCGTCGATCAGCTCGCCCACGTACTCATTCACGAACTCCCCCTGAAAAGGACGAGAGGACAATGACAGCAGGACTCGAGCGCCCACTGCTCTGGGTCAAAGCGGGACTCCAGCGTCAGGGCAACCGACCGGGGCACCAACCGCCAGCGCCAGTTTCAGAGGGAAACCGTATCAGGTCCCCAAGTTCAGCTCAGTGAGTCGACTCGCTTTTTACCGAGGGTGTTGGTGAAGAATTCACTGGAGTACACCTGGTGCAGCCATGGTCTCTACTACGTTTCTGGTCTCCTGAGAATGCGTGGGAGACTCCTTCCACCTAAGTCATCATCCACGAGCTCACCTCCATCACAGAGGACAGGCAGACCACAGACCCAAACAGCCCCCATCCATCAGCATTCCGAGGTCACAGGTGCGTTGACGGAGGTGGCATGTCTCTACGAGTCTCGTGCTGAGAAGGCTGTTGTCTGCGGCCTCACCACTGCGGAGCTGGCCCAGCCTTGGAGACTGAGAGCCCCGCCAGTAGCCCCTACAAGCCCCAGTGCGTCCACACACAGCCAGGCCCAGACGAGCGAGTCGTCCTGGCCAGCCGAGGACTGGCTGTCTCGTTCGAGTCCCACTCTGTTGTGTTGGGGCCCCAAGTGTCCAGGCTACTACTGTAAGGAAAAGTCACTTCCCAAAGCTATCATTTCCTAATGACATCAGAATTCTGACTGAAAATGTGTTTAAAGAAATCTGTGAGCGTCACTCTGGAAGACGGTCCATGCACTCCTAAGCAAAAGGCGGCGCCCCTCCGCCGGTTCAAATCCCCCAGTGGCTCCACAAGAAAAAGGAGGCAATCTCCCCATGAACCATTTAAGTGTCTTAAAAAACCGACCACAAGGTCCGCAGAGTCGGTTCAGGGCAATGAATGAGTTAGTACCTGACACCATCCAGTGTGTCAAGGGTCCACACACACAATAATCACATCCCAACGGCTACTCACTCGGTGCGCAATGTCTAACGGGAGGCACAAGCGTATCACAGCCCACCTTTTTGATGTCTCTCTTGGCCACCAGACCCCAGCCTTTGCCCTCTGTCTTAATGATCTTGGTCTCAGGGTACTGGCGCTTGGTGAAGCTCTGGTTCTGGCAGTGCTCGCCCGCAGGGCACACCTGGGGGTGGCACTCATACATCAGCATCCTGTTCAAACACTCCGAGTCAAAGCCACAAGGGTTCTCGTCTGTGGGCTTACAGTTGCACTTAGGGATTTCAGAAATATCGGCTGTGTAGATCTGAACTTTCCCATACGGCTTATTCACCTGGAAGGGAAGCGAGAGGCTGCCTCAGCACACGTCCCAGCAAAGCCCTTTCGACCTGGTACGCCCGCTCCCACCCCTGCACCTGGTGTCTGAGAATCACAGCCCAGATGGGACACCAGCCCACATGGTCATGGGAGCAGCTCCAAGCCTCGCAGCCCCTGGCCTGAGGACTCTGCCCCCACCCCCCGCAGCGTACCATTTATGGCCCTCAAAAGGAAAGAGAGCTAACAGTTACCCAAGAGAAAAGCTGCGACACTGAGAAGCCGCAGGTCAGCGCAGGCTGCCAGGTGCCCAGCCAGGACGGGGGCCAGTGCAGGGCAGGGACGTACGGGGAGACTCATGAAGCCCATGTGACCATTCAGCTGCAGTCCCTCCTGCTCCAGGTGGCCTGGCCATTCAACAGCACCTCTGAGAGCCTCTGCACCTCACCGCTGCAGGCGGGGCAGCACTGGTGGGGGGTGGAGGGCTGCCGTTGTCTGCCTAGGGTCTCCCGCATGGCCTCCACACCAGGCACACCAGTGCCAGCTCCTGACCTACCGGCACAGCCCAGGACTGCAGGAGCCGTAAGCCCCACTGTGTGACGGACCCTGCTGGGTCCACGCTGGCCCAGGCCACGCACGCACGTGGAAGGTGCGCTGCTCACCTTAATGTGCTTGTAGGGCGGGGGTTTACGCTCATTCTCCTGAGACTCTCGGGCTTCCCTCCGGAGCCTGATCTCACGGAAGCGAGCTTCGGCTTCTTGCAGCGCTGAAACGGCCGTGAAACAGAGTAAGAATTTAGTCAAGACATCTGCCTGGAACTACATCTTTACCAGTTTAACTCTTCATCGCGCTAGTGCATGCCTTCCGAGTTTCTGCTGATCAAGTGTCAGTGCCCAAGACGTCTGGAAACACATGCTCAGGAGCCCTCGGCAACGGGGGTTCTCGGGGACAGCTTTCTGCTGGAGGCTGCTCCCCACGGCTCCTGTCTCCTCCTGGGTCTCGGGACAAAGCGCTGATATGTGGGCTCTACTCTAAGGTAAAAACGCACCAAAACGTACAAGCATTGCAGCCCAACTGGAACGAACTCGTAGCCACCCTTTCACAGGGTTTCTGACGCCGCCCATCCTCTCTTCCCAAGCAGCTGCTGGGGCGCGTGAACTGTCAGAGGGCGCAGCACTGAGGCTACAGTGCAGCTGTGCGTGCTACACCACCAGAACTCAAAGCACGCTAGGCTGTTCACCGCGAAGAGGCAAAGGTCTGAGGAGTGAGCGCGTGTGGGAGCTCCAGTTCCCCGAGAACAGGCCCTATCAGCACTCCCCGCCCGGCGACTGCAGCGGACTCTCAGCACAGCGGACCGCGGTGGGGACGGACAAGGCCGTTTCCTTCACTCTCCCTGAACACATCCTGATGCATTTTCACTCTTGGTCAGATTTCTAGATGCCACCTGTGTGCCAAGACCCAAAACAGGCCTACGAAAGTCACACCTACTGTTTATCGTGCTGCATGTGACGGCTTCCTTTATAAGCCTAATACAAACATCACTCTTCGTGAGTGCATCACCAGCTCCCCACTGCTGAGTGGCTATGGCTGCACCCATGAGCTCTACGCCACCCCAAGTGGCTCCCTGCTGCCCTGAGTGGTTGTGCACCGGCACCACGGCTCCCTGCTGCCCCCACGGCTGTGCGCCTGCGCCACGGCTCCCTGCTGCCCCCACGGCTGTGCGCCTGCGCCACAGCTCCCTGCTGCCCCCACGGCTGTGCGCCTGCGCCACGGCTCCCTGCTACCCTGAGTGGCTGTGCGCCTGCGCCACGGCTCCCTGCTGCCCCCACGGCTGTGCGCCTGCGCCACAGCTCCCTGCTGCCGAGTGGTTGTGCGCCTGCACCACGGCTCCCTGCTGCCCTGTGCTGTGTGTGCACTGTGGCTCCCTGCTGCCCTGAGTGGTCATGTTCATGGGATCCCTGTTTCCCTAGAGCTGTGTGTATGCTTCAGCTCCCTGATACTCTAAGTAGCTGTGCACTTGCTCCAGGTCCCTAAACTACTGTGACTGGGTGTTTCCTTAGCTCCCGGCTACCCTGAGTGGCCCTGTCGTCTTCACTTACCCTGGACTCAATGTGAGTGCCATTTCCTCTGGGGAGCAGACACAGCCCCATATTTGACTCAAGTCTTAGTGTCGGCGAGCCGCGTCACCCTGTCCAGACACTGGCTGTCAGAGCATCCTGTTTCACCTGTCCAGACCTAACACTAAGTGAAGCACCTGGTGCTGAACTCTCAGATGGACAACACACAGGCCCAGGGGGTCCAAGTTCTACCCAGCAAAAATGGCCCACTATATTTCCATCCATGTGACAGGGCAAGCTAGGAACCCATCTGTGAGTTAATACGGATGTCTTAACAAACAGGCCTTCATTTGTTACAAATCTGTATTATAAAAGTAAGAGCTCTGGTGGCCTAGTGGCAAGAAGCTGCACTGCAATTCCAGAGGTGCGTGGTTCGAATCCACCAGATGCTCTGCTGAAGGAGGAGGGACAATCTCCTCCTGTACCAGTCAGATCTGATTTGACGGTACACGTAAAAAAAAAAAATAACATTTTTTAAAAAGTAGTAAATCAAAGTACAGCTTATACTATATACCTCAACCAATCAGTCTATAAACTTAAGTTTCTTCTATTTTAAAAACACAGATGGAACACTTAGTGCAGTAACATCTATAAAGAAATCCTCAAAAATTAATATTAACAGATTGAACACAGAGGGTATGGTTTCATTTTTGATAAGGAAAGAAAAAGCTCTTGTATCTCTGTACCGTTTTTGAAGACTTTTCCAATTCCTTTAATTCCTTGGTATCTGCTGCCCCGATCGCCCTCCATGTACGGGAACACTCGTGCCTGATGTGTCCAATAATAATCTTTAGACCCAAAGAAAAACACAGGAAATTCTCCAATCTCGTGCTTCATTTTCTGAATATTTGGGGGGACATTTTTGGGATGGCAAACTTCTGCCGGCCACCATCTATTATAAATATTAAAAACAGGGTTCACAGACTCTTCAGAGACAGCATCAATCAAGCACTTCATCACTTTAATCTAGAGTGAAATGAACACATGTTAACAAGGAAAGACACAGAGGTGAGCACGCGTGTCTCCGTCCCCCACCTGTAGTTGCCGAGTTTGACCCAGATGATGTCCTGGAAGTGGAGCTTCTTGCCGGCCCTGCAGTCGTTGCAGAACCAGCTCCCATCGGGCATCTCGATGTTGAGGCAGTCGGGGTGGAAGGCTGCCGGACAGGACTCACAGCACAGGAGGCTCCCCCCTGCAAGAGGGGGTGGGCTTAGAGCTGCTCTACAGAGAGGCTGGGGGCGCTCCCCCGGGACAGAGATCACACCCCCGGTTCCCACATAGGACTCGGCAACAGTCGTCTACTGAGTCAGTACAAAAGCAAATGTTATTTCCACCAGTGACAATATTCCAGAATTCCATAAAATGATCCTAGTTAATTCAGAAATATTCCAATAGACTAAATGGAAAACATCAACAGCAACTACCGAAGTCGGAAAGAGAATCAGAGGCAGCACTAGAGACAGAGACGCTGTCTGGGGAGTTGCGTGGGTCGCACTAACCTGTCGAGGTGCCCGAGTACTACGTGCTGGGTGCTGGGCAGCACTAGGCCTCTAGGCGCCTGCTGGCTCTTACCTTTGGAGCAAACGAAGCACCAGCTCACATTGACATGTGCGTGGTGCCTCTTCCCCTTCCGGGCAGTGAAGTGACCTGTGCAGATGATGCTATTGGATGCAATCACCGAACACCCCGCTGCCAAGCAAGAGTCCCCTCCGTGGTAGGCTACGGGGCAGCGGACACACCGCATCATTTTACCTAGACACAGACACACACGTTGTAAAAGGGCCCAGCAGGGAATGGTCACAAGCCCCCGCTGAACGCACTGTCATCAACAGGGCCACCAGCAATTACGATGCTGCCAAAAATGTGGAAAATTAATCCTGCAATGTATCTCAGATACTGAAAAAAATCTAGGATGGTGAGGGCAAAATGTATTTAATAGGCATCATTAAAACATGCTTCAAGACAAAGCACTCGAAGCAAACACTGGGGAAATTACCCAGCATTTAAAATACTACCTCCTAAAATGAAAGAAATCTGCACCCCTCAACCTGGGCACGACTGACGTTTTGGGCCAGCTTCTTCTTTGTGGTAAACATGCTCTCGTGCATTACGAGGCTCAGCGTTTCTGGCCTCCACTTACTAGGTGTCAGCAACAGACCCCAGAAATATCCTCCGACACTGTCCCCGAGTGGACAAACGGACCCGTGGTTGAGAACCACTACTGTTACGATAACCTGCCCCTCTCAATCCCATATACCCAACATTAAATAATACACATGTCATTTAATTTTAATTTTTCCCCCCTCACATATAAATGGCCATTAAAACTAGGACATTTTAAAAATAGTCCTCTCCCCTAAATGCAACAATTTTGCAACAGCATTTAGCACGGGAAGGTGGGAGAATGGAAGGCAGGTCCTTTGTCAAAGAGTAACGTTCATGCCATCTGTGCTTAAAAACAAGGAAAAACTGTCAGTCCAGATGAAAACCGAACTCATTCCTGTCTGTGAAGAGCCCAGCAGCTAAGCCACCATGCCCACCTCCAAAGCACCCAGGTGCATTAACAAACAGCAGAGTTTCACCCGTACCTTTCAATGGTCTTGGATTTGAAGGGTTTGAAACGTGACAGGTCACACAACTGTGGAGAGGACAGCGAAAGCCCCGACTTTCAAACACAGTAAGAGGGTATCTCCTCACACAATCTTCGTGGTAAAATTTTCCACACTGAGACACAACACAGCGCTTAACATCTGCATTATTCTCCTTACACACGAAACATGAGTGAACCCCTAACAAACGGGTTTTTTTAAAAAAAGAGAAGAAGGGTGGAGAGACAAAGAATAAGGATTAAGTTGTATTTCCTGAGCCACTAGTATCAAGCACAACTTTTTCTGAGGGAGGCACACTGCTGGAGCATCTGGCGCGATTTCCAACCCTGCTGATTAGTCCTAGCATTCTTCAATAAAAACCCAGCCGTCAAAGGTTACCTTGCTGTGATCTGCGCTCCAGCTTCCCCTAAAATACAGGAAAGTCTTACTACTCAGACTAGAAGGGGAGAGGCCACACTAATCAGCATGAAACCCGTAGAAAGGAATCTTCCGTCTTTCCATCTTGAGAGGCATGAACCACTTATAATGAGTGTAAACTAACTCGTAAGAACAGGCAGATGGAACACTTCGGGGGGTACAGCCTGCAGCATACTGCCTTTCTTTACAGGAACCCCTGCAGACTCTAGATGCCTTGTGATCCAAGGACAGGCTCCAGTGAGAATCATAAAAGGCATTCTCAGGCCTGACAGGAACAGAGGCCATGGCTGAAGACTGTCTCCCCAGTGTTCCCCATCCTGTGCTGGAGGAATGCAGAAATACAACAAAACACAGTGAGCGCTCAGCAGGACTCTCACCTGCTCATTCTCTGCTGGGAGTGAAGCTCAGATGCACACGGCCGCCTGAAAACTGCACCCACTCCTACGGAAGTAGGCACTGTGGGGTGAAGACACTGTGCTGCGAGCCCAGGTTCCTGACGTCTGAGCACAAGCAGCTACTGACCTTCCCCTATCTCTCTGGCATGTCCGGGTGCCTCAGTGACAAAAAAGCCCTGGGGCCCCAGTGACCAGAGGCCGAAGCAGCCACAGTGAGTTCAAAGCAGGTCCTCAGACTCCAGATCATTCTATCTGCCCCTCACTGAGCTGGAACAGCAGCTAGCACCTGAATGGAAGGTGTACTGCAGAGGGGAGTTGGAGAGCCAATGCTAGGCGCACCAAGGAGTGGCAAGGCCCAGGGTGCAGGGCTGCATGCTCCCAGGAGGCCAAGCGTGGGACACGGAAACGGGCAGAGAGCAGTGTGTCTGCCATGTCTCAGCTGCGCAGAGAAAGGAAGCTCTGGGTGCTTGTGGGAATGCAGCCTGCCTTTAGGAACAAGCCCACAAAGCTAGAGCACAACTTGCCTGAAGAACATTCATTGCAGATGAACCTTCCTTCTGGTCTCCGGGAGAGCCCGAGGCAAGAAAGGTGGAAAGCGCCACAGCAGAGGCCTTCACAGAGCAAGAGGTTGCCAGTCTTTTCACACAGCTGTGGAGACAGATGGCAACAGGGAGGTCAGTGACCCCTTGCACAGCTTCGCCTATGCTCATCTCCTCCCAGGACAGTTCCTCCTCAGTGCTGGGTGTCCCAGTCCTGACAGACAAACAACTCACACTGCACCCAGTACAGTCACAGGAAGGACAGGGTCACGATAACTTAGACACACGTGCCATCAAGGCAGCTCTCACCGCTGCACAGAAAACAGGACTAAGGGATCTCTAAAGAATGAACTCAAGACGCTTCCACTCAGACCTGAAAGAAGAAAACCTGTGGCATGTCACCACCAGAAATCAAGGGATCCTAATGCAGGTCCGGGGCAAGGCTCCTGTGTAACAGTGTCGCCCTCCAGTGCACACAGGCTCACAGGAGAGTGCCTGTAGCTCTGGGTGGACACTGGACAGAGGTAACAGGACCTGCCTGAGGTCACAGTGTGTGAGCTGGGCAAAGTCAAACACTGACCAAGGCTCTAAGCAATGTGCAGTCACCTCCCTGAACAGGACTAGAGTGCGGCTTCGAGGCACATGCAGTGAGGGTCATCTCCACGCACACCTCGTGCTGGTCAGGCCACGTGGGGGGGTGTGGCTGTGACAGCAGCAGCAAACATTAGTTAGCACCCTGAGTAACTCACAGGGACCCAACCAACTCTCCTGGGCTGTGGTCCTCATACACACAGCCTCGGCTGCAGAAGGGGGTGCACTCAGCAGATGACGGTGTTCTAGACCCACTTCGTGGCTCCGTGGGGGAAAGACCCGCTGCTCTGCTGTAAAGATTACAGCACGAGGACCCCAAGGGAGCTCTAGTCTGCCACAGGAACTTGCTACAAACTGGGTCAAGTGGACGGCATCTCGTGACAATTCTTAAAAAATTTTTATATTGGTTTGCAAACAAAATTCATATATACCATGTTGTATTCATGTCCACTGTTTCACACGCTCATTCACATACATGTACTGTGTCTTACAAAATCAAACACCACTGATCTAGGCCTACGATTACTTCCCCCTTTCAGGTCCCCACTGACTCTTTCCTAGTCCTCACTTCCCCTTCTCTTCATGCTTTGCCCTGGCCTCCTCTCCACCCCTTCCCCCTTCCTTGGAAGGAGCCGGCCCCAGCTTTGCCCTCTAGAGCGGCCGGCTGCATGGATTCAAACAGACAACTTCCTCAGCACACAAGTGCTACCAAGACTCCTTTCATGTTAAGACACTCATGCTGCACAGGGGTGATGACAGTTTAGGTCGTGACCCAAGGGCTCTGATGACCAACCAAACCTAGCGAAGATGGGTCTGGAAGGGGGTGATGCCTCATCTTGGGTCCCAGGTAGACCAGGAGCCTGTGCCTCAGTCGGAGACTCCCGCTCACCTGGCACACGTGCTCCTTCTTGGCTGCCACTCCTCGTTCTGACTTCTTGGATGAGATGGACACTTCGGTCTGGGTTTCATCTGCACTTTCGTACGGGGACTCGGAGGGCTCGTCTCCAGGGCCATCTGAGACCTGGTGATGAAGGACGTGGATGACAGTTGAGTCCAGGAAAACAGTGGGTGTGACACTGCCTCAGAGATACTGTCAGCTATTTTCTGTGAACTCACAGCCTCAACTGGTTGTTGTGATAAGAAGTCTGTCAATTAAGCTACGCTGGGAATTTAGAAGTGTACTTTATTCTGTTTAGTATTTAGAATATGTCTGAGATCTAAGATTCCTTCCTAATTCCTTATGAAAAAGGAAATCACTTCCATGAAAATCCCACTTGCACTAGTGAATGGGACTGGCTCCCAGGTTGAGAATCTAGACCTTTCTTACCATCTCTCTTCAGGTCCGACTATCTTAAAGTAAGAGGGACATGTTAACACCGGCTAGAACTCGAGCAACCAAGACGCAGCACGAGCGCGAAGGCTCCCGGACGGGCCTGCCTAGTGTCTGCTGCGCTGGGAACTCGGGGAGCGACCTCCGAAGTGGCCACAAGGTCTGGGGCAGCAGCCAGAGTGCGGCGCGCAGGCTCCCAGGCTCGAGCTCCGGAAGGCCCGGCTGCACTCGTCTCTGGGGCCTCTCAGTCCGCTCACTCGTCATCACCAGTGTGGAAGGCGGGAACAGCAAGGTGCACCTGCCTAGTTAGGTGCCACGGGCGTGCAAGAGGCGGCCTGGGAGAAAGAGGTGGGCCCCGAACAAAGGCAATGACGGTCAGTGGGCTTTCCTTCATTTGTTTCTCCTACGTTTCATAAGAGAGCAAAACTAGACTACAATCTTGCACTTGTGTGACCCGCAATATCAGTAAATGTTTAAATTAATAAAACAGAAAATTCTGCTGGTGTCCTAATCTTGGGGTTTTCTTAAAAAGAACAAAATACATGCTTGGTTTTCAACAGTTAAGAAGCCTCTATAGGAACTGCTTAAAACAGCATTGTGGAGATGGGAACCGAATGAAGGCATAAACTAACACTTCAGTAACCACAGCAACAAGTAATTATGTCACAGGCTTGCTGTTTCCAGTGGAAAAAGCTAGAAACTGAATTTGGGCCACATTAAAAACCACCAACCAGACAGGCAGGCACCCTGACTGATTCTAAGGGCCTTGCCAAGGATTCTTTTCGGATTCAGTTCACTGAAATGACAGGAAGTGACAGAAAAACACCACTCCCCAAGGGAGGTTCTGAGAGCCTAACACCAGTCTGCACGTGGCATCTGTTTCCCGGCCTCTGTCCGGCCCACCACGCTCACCCCGTCAGCTCCTCGGCGAGGCTCACTTGTCCACGGCCCTTTCCGACTGACTGGGGGAGCAGGGACAGCATGTGGGCCCTCGGGTCTAGCCTTCCTCATCTTTTCGGTCTGATACCTCCCCTAATTCAAGTTCAAAGTCTTGGGGGAAAGTGGCTTTCAAACGGGATTTCCTCCCCTTTTCCAGGCAGAGGGTAACAGGAGCATCAATGAACACTAAATTACAGTGAACACAGATTAGGAATCTGTCACTGAGGCGGACTGCGTAGAACCACAGTCATCTTCCATGTTGCAAAGTTTACCGGCAACAAGCCACCTGCAACAAGGTCTGAGTTCAAACCCCAAACCTAGCACGCCCACCAAACACAAAGGCACAGCTGGGGTGTGGAACGCTTTGGAGGTGAGCCTGGAGGGGGTGTCAGAAAGCTGCCCTGCCCAGCCGGACCCCAGCTCAACGAGCAGCCCGCAAGGCCGCCCACGGTCGCCCCAGCTGAGAAAGACCGAGGCACAAGCAAAGGTTCTTCCCCAGGAGCCCAGACGGAGCACACACAGCTCCCAAGAGCCCAGGCCCTTCCCTCAATGTGGCTGGAGCCAATGTGGACGCTAAAAAAAGGAAAACAAAAAAAATGCACGGAGATAAGGACAGAAAACACAGACCAGTCCTGGGTCAGAGGAAGGAACAGCACCTTTTATTTAAGATTTACAGAAAAAGTCAGCGCGTTTCCACTTGGAGATATCTCCTAAGTTAACAAAGTCTGTTTTGAGAAAATAAACACGCAATACATATTTTGAGTGGAAATATCAATGTCAAGGACACACATGAGGCCACTTTCCTGGTCGGGGTCTGAGATATACATACAGAATAATATGTGTGAAGAAACCTTACAATGGTACAGTTGGTGACACAATGATGGCAGAACACTCTGACCTGATCCCCCCCATGGCCTTTCACGACTGAACAGACAACTACGCACACAGTGGGGTGCAGTGGCTCTCCACCCAGCCAGCCCCCCCCGGAGCTGCCACATGGACAGAGAGGGGCACCAGCACAAGTGGGCCTTTTACTCCAGGTGCAGACTCCACCTCCACGTGCACCGGGTGACATTACTTACTCTGAGATGCCACTTGTGAATGCGACACATTCACCTTTAGGTCCCATCAACAC